GGACAGGTAACCCGCTGCCCGACCGGACCGGCCCGACCGGGTCCACAGGTCCGGTCCTGACCCGCTCTGTTGATCCGATCCCGCAGCTGGGTCTGGGCCACACCACCACGTCAGAGAGCCCACGCTGCTCACGGCGCTGCAGGGCAAGAACATCAACCAGATCTCGGCTGGACGCTGCCACAGCGCCGCCTGGACGGCGCCTTGCGTGCCGCCGCGCGCGCCAGGTAGGTCCGGTTTTGAACCGCCGGTCTGGTTCGGTCCTAATTAAGTAATGAGTTATTGGACCGTAAATAATCCCATGTGGTTCTGGTCAGACCCAGAGCCACAAAGTTTGTCGTCTGATTAAATGAATCCTGATCCTGGACCTTGATGCAGACTCGCCTCCGTTTTTTCTTCTTCTCCTCGTCTTCGTCGCCTTCAGGCTCGTCGGTTCCGCTCCAGCTGGGCCTCCCGGTGGCGGTTCCGCCTCAGTACAGCGGGCTGAAGGAGGTCAGCATGGAGGCGGTGAGGGCGCGGCTCCGCCTCCTCTACCACTTCTCTGACCTCATGTACTCGTCGTGGCGGCTGCTGAACCTCAGCCCCAACAACCAGGTCAGATCAGAACCGCAGCAGAGAACCTCCAGAACCCGGCCGGCCGTCCTCACTGCCTGTTTTTTTGCAGAGCTGCACCTCCCACTACAACGCCGGGACCTGGGGCATCGTTCAGGGCCAGCTGCGCCCCCTGCTGGCCCCCGGGTCTACACGCTGCCCATGGTGCGCTCCATCGGGAAGACCATGGTTCAGGGCAAGAACTACGGTCCACAGATCACCGTCAAGCGGATCTCCACCCGGTCAGTGACCCACCCACTTCATAAACCCACTTTAGAATCCAGAACCCGACTGACGCTCCGGTTCCTCTCTCCCTCGGCTCCCCAGCGGCCGGAAGTGCAAACCGATCTTCGTCCAGATCGCCCGGCAGGTGGTGAAGCTGAACGCCTCCGACCTGCGGCTGCCGTCCCGCGCCTGGAAGGTCAAGCTGGTGGGCGAGGGGGCGGACGACGCGGGCGGCGTGTTTGATGACACCATCACCGAGATGTGCCAGGTATTCCCAGCTCTGAGCTTCCCTCACCGACTCCAGGAGTTTCCAGGAGTTTCCAGGAGTTTCCAGGTGACTGATGGTGGGAATGTTTTTGCAGGAGCTGGAGACAGGTGTGGTGGACCTGCTGATCCCCTCCCCTAACGCCACCGCAGAGGTCGGCTACAACAGAGACAGGTGAGCAGCTGTAAAATCCCACCGTCAGTGAACTCACCTCATGGTTGTAAGAGTGATTGAAATTAAATGATCAAAAACGAAGCCACTAGAAAGTAATAAGCATCACCTGACGAGGAATTGATTTGACATTTTGTTCCATTTGTGTTCAGTTCAGGTTTACTAGTTAAAAATCCTGTGAATTTAGTTTTATTTTGTGAGTAAAATCTGAGCCGCGTTGGAATGAAACAGCAAATTATGATCAATAATGTTAAAGATTTGTGGCTGATTGCTCCCAAAACCGCCACAGTGAAGTTTTTGGACGACAGATTCAGAGATTTGTTTCCGCATCTGTAAAAAGAAATAATGTTTCTGCAAAAACTGATTCAGAAGAAGACACTCAGGATTGCAGACGAGTCGCTCTAATCTTTTTGTTTTCCTCCAGATTCCTGTTCAACCCGTCCGCCTGCCTGGACGAGCACATGATCCAGTTCAAGTTCCTGGGCATCCTGATGGGCGTGGCGGTGCGCACCAAGAAGCCGTTGGACCTGCACCTGGCGCCGTTGGTATGGAAACAGCTGTGCTGCATCCCGCTGCAGCTGGAGGACCTGGAGGAGGTGGACCTGCTCTACGTCCAGACGCTGAAGAGCATCCTGCACATCGAGGACAGCGGCATCACCGAGGACAGCTTCCACGAGGTCGGTCGGCCGGTTCTGACCCGGTTCTGATCAGAGAACAGCTTCCACGAGGTGGAGACCGTGACTCGGATCCGAGTCAGAATAGAACACCTTTATTGTTCCTCCAGTGCAGCCTGGCGACAGACGGCTCCTCAGGCGGCACAAAAAGAGGGGAAATCACAGTGTGTCTGTAACAGGACACAGTGTTAGCCTGCTAGCGTGTTAGCCTGCTAGCGTGTTAGCCTGCTAGCGTGGTTAGCCTGCTAGCGTGTTAGCCTGCTAGCGTGACAGCCTGCTAGCGTGAGAGCCTACTAGCGTGTTAGCCTGCTAGCGTGACAGCGTGTTAGCCTGCTAGCGTGAGACCCTGCTAGCGTGTTAGCTTGCTAGCGTGACAGCCTGCTAGCGTGAGACCCTGCTAGCGTGAGAGCCTGCTAGCGTGAGACCCTGCTAGCATGTTAGCCTGCTAGCGTGAGAGCCTGCTAGCATGAGACCCTGCTAGCGTGTTAGCCTGCTAGCCGGTGAGTTTGTTGATTGCATCCAGGTGTGTTGGGGAATGAAAAGTGTCAAACTCCTGGATCATGTAAAAACACGCAGGACTCGTTTCTCTCACTGCTCCATTTCCACCGGGAGGAGATTTTTCAGCACATCTGTGTACAAATGAAAACTTTAATTTATTTATTTAACAGAATTGTATCTATTGCTGAGTATTCCTCTGGCAGAATGTTCCTTGTTACTGGCTTTTCCCTGATGCGATCCGTAAGCACCACCAGAACCGGCCTGTTGGTGGCGCTCCAGCCGCTGCTGTTGGTCTCAGGCCCGGTCAGGTTGGTTCTGTTAAGCCCGGTTCTGCTGGTTCTGTTCCAGATGATACCTCTGGACTCGTTTGTGGGTCAGAGCGCGGACGGGAAGACGGTTCCCATAATTCCCGGCGGAGCCAGCATCCCGCTCTCCTTCTCCAACCGGAAGGAGTACGTGGAGCGGGCTGTCGAGTACCGGCTGCACGAGATTGACCGACAGGTAAACGGAGTCCGGCAGGACCAGAACCAGAACCATAGCCGCACACTAACCTGTTCGTCCTCCTCCCGTCCACAAGGTGGCGGCGGTGCGTGAAGGCATGTCCTGGATCGTGCCGGTGCCGCTGCTGTCGCTGCTGACGGCGCGGCAGCTGGAGCAGATGGTGTGCGGCATGCCGGAGATCTGCTGCGAGGTTCTGAAGAAGGTGGTCCGGTATCGGGAGGTGGACGAGCAGCACGCGCTGGTCCAGTGGTTCTGGCAGACGCTGGAGGAGTTCTCCAACGAGGAGCGCGTCCTCTTCATGCGCTTCGTCTCCGGCGCTCCCGGCTGCCCGCCAACACCGCCGACATCTCACAGCGGTTCCAGATCATGAAGGTGGACCGGTGAGTGGACCGACCCAAACCGACACAGACAACATTCCTCACTGTAGCTGACCCGGTTCTGCTCAGAAAATAACAGAACTAGCTTCTGGTCCAGAGACGATGCTACAAAACTGAAACAATCGATTTGTCAAATAATCGTCAACTAATTTAGTCATTGATTAATCGTCAGTTGGACCAGAGAGAAACAAATTAATCAATCAAAGGCTGTGATTAATGACTGACAGGAAGATGAGAATGCAAAGAACATTTCAGTAAATTATTCTGTTATATTTTATCAGCCACAAAAAAGCTACATTTCTACCAAAAAACTCAAAAATTTCCAGAAAAACTGAAATTTCTGACTTTGGAAAAACCAAAAAGACTTTCCGTTATCTTCAATGGCCTTTAATAGATCATCATAAAAACCTCATTACAGTTTTTAAATTGTATAGTATTGAAAATTTGATAAAAATATTTTTTGCTTTTTTATATTTTATTTTTCAAAATTCCTTTGAATTGGACTTCATGATGACTAGTCAGAACGCCAGCAGCTAGACTGACTGACGGCTGGCTGGCTGCAGTATTTGCTCGCCGCCGCCGCCGCGCCGCGCCGCTTCGCTCCTCTCTGCTGACGCTTTCTGTTCCTCCTCAGCCGTACGACAGCCTCCCCACCTCCCAGACCTGCTTCTTCCAGCTGCGCCTGCCGCCGTACTCCAGCCAGGGCGTCATGGCCGAGCGGCTGCGCTACGCCATCAACAACTGCCGCTCCATCGACATGGACAACTACATGCTCTCCCGCAACGTGGACAACGCCGAGGGCTCCGACACGGACTACTGATGTTTCCACGCGTCCGCAAACTCTTTTACATCCGTTTATTTCTCTAATATCGGCACAACCTTCATTTCTCTCTGTTTATTAGTTTTTATCATGGAATCCACAGAAGAGTGTTAATTCTGGTTTCCTCCCACAGTGCTATTTGGAAACGTGTACAGAATATCTGGGTGAAGATTGTACATTGTGTAAAATGCTTCATTAGCAAAATGTTTTGCATTGTATCCATATTTATTGTTTTCATTGGTGGCAGCAATTTTCCCAAAGCAAACAAAATAAAAAAAACTAAAAATGCTGCAGAACTGATCTGTTGAAATGTGTGTCCTGACTCAGTTGATCTGTTTTTTGTGTATGTCTTCTCTGTTTTCTTAAACTAAAAGACAAAAAATTAAAGTTTGATAAAACGGAGCAGTTAGTGGCTTCATTTAGGAGAGAAACAGACAATTTTAAAGGCTACAGGATGAAAGAGACGGGACATTTTCACAACACATAACAGACCAGGTGTTTCCACGCAGAGTAAAAAATTGAGGGAACCTAACGTTAAAAACTGAAATAAAAGCAAATACTGAAAAATTGGAGAGTAATAGGAGAACGCAGCATACCTCCAGAGGTAGCTCAGGATAGCCAGTTTTAAACTGTAGCTATTTGGAGGTAGCGATAACCAGTGTTGTTCACCTCATATTAGAGGTCATAACGTTATGCCTGATTCGTGTTTGTTGTGATGACGTCAGATCTTTTAAACTGTCCAGCAGAGCTTTGGCCTCTAGAGGGCGCTGTGTTCACAGCTGTGGACTGCAGTAAGCCTGTGGCGCCGGCAGGGGGCGGTAACGAGACAGCCCCTCTGGAACCGGAAGTGAGCCGTCCTTTTGTTGTGTTGCAGTGGCTGTTAGCCGTGAACATGTCCGGCGGGTCTTCAGCCCAGCAGCTCAGAGAGTTCATCAGCAAACGGCTGGCTGCCGCCGCGGAGGAAATCTTCTCGGTCTTCCAGAGAACCGTCGCCCAGTACGAGGAAGAGCTGGACCGGCAGCGCAGACTGCTGGACGGCGGCTGGAGGCCGGACAGCGGCTTCCAGAGAGCAGGTCAGGAGGGCCGGTCACAGAACTCCCACCGTGGATGGGTGGCAGGCAGGAAAACTACTGAATAAATAAACATCGGAGCTTAAAAGAACAGACAAATAAATATAGTTTTAATCTGTCATCCAGTTATTCAACCGTCAGATTAGAGCAAAGTGTTTTTCTGGAGTTTCAGAAACTTGCTGGAAATGTGGACCGAGACGCTGACATTAGCGCTAGCTGCTCCCTGTTTAGCATTTTGATGCTACTTTAGCCCTAAAAAGCTAAAGCTGTAACCGCTTGGACGCATGAGCCAATCAGATGGTTCTTCCAAGCAGGAATGGGCCTCAGCGAGCCACGAAGTGCAGCTGCGATGTTGTTAGCAGATGTGCACCAGGTTTACTGACGTATCAGAAACACGCAAATACAGAGGTTCCGGTTTGGAACTCTGTTTTAAAAAATGATGTTGAACACTTAACGCATTCAAATTCACATTATTAATGATGCATTAAAGACCCAGCCCTGTTATTTATATATTTCTAAAACCGACTGACATTGTGAGTGCCATGCTCTTTTTTTCGTCAGTTTCTATTAATTTTTCAAAATGTGGAAATCACTCACTTGTCTTTCTTTGGATCAAAACATCAAATTAAAAGTAAAAAAAAAACTAAGATTTTGGATTTTCATAATGAGATGAACACATTTAATTTAGCGCTCGATAAGTTTTATTTGTCCACAGTCCCAGTTATTTTTGCTGGTCTGAACAGATTTCATTCAGCAGCAGGAGTAAAAATGGTTCAGTGAAACTTAAAGATCTAAACATCCCATAATATCTCTGTCCATAAGCTCAGGCTGGAAGCTGAAACTCCACCTCAACAGGTGCATCATTTGCTACAAATAATCGAGCTAAAGGATTGCTGCTGTTGACTCTTAGTCAGAACATTTTCTTATTTAAAATTGAGTTATTTGCATATTTTAATGTATTTTAAATTTATTAAAAGTTGAAAAAAAAAAGAAAAATTTGCAGAACATGCCAATTTTCTTTACCTGATTAATTGTCAACATAATTGATAGAATGATAAAATAATTGATAGCTGCAGCTGCACTTTGGACCATTTGGTCCTTTGTCTCCACCTGAATGATGGACGGGTGGAGGACGGGTGGAGCCAGCTTCTCTTTTCTCAGACTGAATGTTTTCTTGCCTTTTCCAGATTTCCCTCGATGTTCTGTCAGGACGAAGCAGATCCCTGCTCAGCTGCAGCTCCAGAACCAGCAGGACTCCAGTTTGGACCATCCACAGATCAAAGAGGAGCAGGAGGACGTGTGGAGCGCTCCGGGGGACGGACAGCTGGTCCTGAAGCAGGAGGCTGACGTCCTGATGGTGGCGCCGTCGCTCCAGGATGGAAACCTCAGCGAACCGGAATCAGACCGGATCCACAGGAGAGACCGGATCGGGACGGAGACTGGACCAACGAGTCCAGGCCGGACAGAGACACGGAGCTGAAGGACAGCCGGGACAGGACGCTGTTGGACAACTGTCCCCTGTTGGAGAGTAAAAGAGACAGAAAAACGTCGGAGAACTCGGGAAGCACGACTCACTACAGAATCCACACAGGTGAGAATTAGAATCAATTATCTCTAATTACTGATCAAATTCTGCAAAATATGAAGCTTTAAATTCATGAAAACTGAGATTTCCCACGATACTGAATACATCAACCAACTGCCTGCAGATTTTTTAGTTAAATAAAAATCTGAGAAATGTTGAGAAAAGCTGGGATCATTTTCAAATTCCTAAATTTCTTGTTGGACTCAAAACTGGAACTTTACATTTTGATGTTATCTTGGAGTTATTGCACCTGCTGGTCAAATGAAGGTAGTTCAGTGTTTTCCCCATTTTGATGCATCTGGAGAGGATCTCTGGCCTGATTTGTACATCAAACTAAAAATCTTAAAACGACAAAAAATCTTGAAGAGTTGAAAACTATTAGATAATAAATGAAACAAAACAGTTCATCAGCTAGATGGACCTGAAAATGTTTTCAATCCAGATATAAAGAAACCAGTGGTTCTGTTCTGTATTCGCTTTGCCCTGTTGCTGGTTTCCATCATGTAAGATGGGCTTCATTATATTACATTATTAATGGTGGCAGTTCCACAAGAATATTGCATTTATGCTTCTCTGCACCTTGATACTTTGTGTGTAGCTTTGACCGTCTGGCCTCATGAATATTCACTACTCTGGTGGTTTCATGACAGTTTGCACTTATGTAAGTGAAAACAGGATTAAAAAGCTTCTATAGCTACTCTATAATGGGCACAAACATTAGTTTCATGTTGTGGTTACAGCTTTTGCTTCATAAGGCTTCAAATTCAGCAGTATTTATTTAGGAATGAAGTACAACGTTGATGGAGATGGTTTACTCATTTTAGGACATCAAGACTATATTTCATTATTTATTATGCCTTAAACATGTAAATACTTACGCGAGTTTACAAATATCAACAGTGGTGGTCACCGCTAACTAAAGCATTAGTCCTGCTAATGCTAAATTACAAACCACAAACATTAGATGTGTTAATTCTACAGAACTATATTAACACAGTATTCACTGAAAGCTAATGCTAAAGCGCTACATTCAGTCATGTTGATACTCACATTACATCATCATTGTATATCATCCTTAACAGGGTGAGCTCTGTCATTACACACCATCTGTGCTTTAAATGAAACATTTATGCAGCTAAATGTTTTCAAATGTAGCAAAAACATTAAAACTGAAACTTGAACTGAACGTTTTGTTTGTCCTCCAGATTTTCCAAAGCATTTTCTGCAGAAGGAGGCGAATATTCCGTTGGCCCGGCGGGAAACTCCAGTCTGGACCGGGAGCAACCGGAAGCTCCTGAGATTAAAGAGGAGCAGGAAGACGTCTGCGTTCATGATGAAGATGAACTGGTGGTGAAGCAGGAGGTTGATAGCTTCCTAGTGACATCTGATTATGAGGAAACTGACCACAGTGAGTCAGAACCAAACCAGAACGCCTCCCATGCAGCTGAGAGGCAGGACCAGGAAGGAAACTGGGACAAAGACTCTGGATCCAGCCAGAATCTGACCAGTCAAAGTAACGCAGCAGACGATCTCCCTCCATTCGATAGTGTCTGCAATTCTGACTCTGGTATAAATCCACAAAATGTTCTATCTGTGGAAAAACCTTCAGCAGCAACTTCAAAATGCGGAAACATTACAGAATCCACACGGGAGAGAAACCGTATTCCTGTAAGATCTGCAGGAAAGCTTTCCGGGAGAGCAAGTACCTGTCGGTCCACATGAGAACTCACACTGGGGAGAAGCCATATTCATGTGAAACTTGTGGGAAAAGCTTCAGTCAGAACAGCCATTTGAGTTCCCACAAAAACTCACACGGGGGAGAAGCCGCACCCCTGCAGCACCTGCGGGAGGAGGTTCGCCGAAGCATCTGCGCTCAGAAACCACATGCTCCCCACACCGGAGAAAAACCTTTTTCCTGCCATATTTGTGGGAAAATCCTGCGGTACAGCAGCAGCTTGTCGGCTCACATGAAGATCCACACGGGTGAGAAGCCATTTGTGTGCAAGACCTGCGGGAAATGCTTTAGCTACAACAGCAGCCTGATTTCCCACATGAGAATCCACACTGGAGAGAAGTCGTACCAGTGCACGACATGCGGCCGCTGCTTCAGCCACAGCACCACGCTGCTGCGCCACACCCGCAGCCACACCGGGGAGCGCCCGTACTCCTGCGCCACGTGTGGGAAGTGTTTCAATAGCAGCAGCCACCTGAGCGTCCACATGACCACCCACACCCGGGAGAAGCTGTACTCCTGCACTATGTGCAGCAAGTGCTTCAGCCACGGTAGCAACCTGGTGCGCCACATGAGGACGCACACCGGCGAGCGGCCCTACTCCTGCCAGGCCTGCAGCAAGCGCTTCAAAAGCAGCACTCACCTGTCGCGACACATGAAGACTCACAGGAAGGGTCGCAGTCCGGAGGTGGAGATTATCCTGGAGGACGGCGGCGCTCCGGCCGCGCAGAGCTAGCGCCGCACGGTCCGACCGAAGACGTTCATTCTGCCACAGCCAATCAGAAAGTTTAAAGCCAGAACTCTGGTTTTTATAACTTCAATACTTTTGCTTGTTTAGAGTGAATTTCTGACAACTTAACAGGAAACAAAGAAAAACTTTCAAGGGCATCAAAAATCATGAAGTTTTTAAGGGAAAAGAAGTAAAAATGTTTTTATTTGCATAAAAACTGAAACACGGTTTTGTCCCGTTTCTGAAAGCGTTTCCTCATTTACTGCTAAAAAACTTTGATCTGAGATCAAGTTCAATTTTCCAAAATTCCAAAATAAAAAGCTTTTTTTTATTATTATTTAAATATTTAATTTATTTAATTTGCACATTTTTATTTTGGTTCTTTTTTTTGTTTATTTTTCAAATTTTAGTGAAGTTAAAATATTTTAGCTTAGTTTTTGGATATTTTATTTTTCCAACTTGTTTTTTTTTTATTCCTCGGTCGGAGCGTCTTCCTCATCGTGTTGCCTTCAGAAATCGTGGGAACTTTTACTCTGTCGTCTGTTTATGTGTTATGACAGATCTTCACTGAACTATCAGAAGGTAAAATGATCTTTATTGATCCCAGAATTGGGAAATTATTGGAATGGCGCACCATGACACACAGAACAGACATTATAAAATATAAATAAAATATACTTAAGTGAAAAATATGATATAAAATGTTGTTAATTGAAATTTTAAGCAGGATCGGGGTGATCGGTGATAAATAATGACAAGACTCTGTTCTGCTAGAATAAATGTGTCCTTTTATTCCGACTCAGATTACAGTAATTCATTCACACAACAAACAATACGCAATGCTTAGATTCTTTCAATCCGCTCTTACCGTGACACTGAACCGGAGAGCCGACGGTTCAGGGAAGAGCTGCAACACGTAATTGGGCGTCTGTACATAACCCACAGCAGACTCTACTCAACAACGACTCTACTTTGACTCTGATGAACAATGGGACTTTTCTGCTTTTTATACCCATTACCAAAAACTCAAATGAAAGAAGGGAATGTCCATTTCCCCTCTTCCAGACCTGTTAGCCAATCAGAATGCTACTTCTCTGCCCACGACTCGACCATGAGCTGAGAGAGTGATCAATTAGCACAGTCCTCATCTCTGGTTGTCCATGATCAATTAGCATACAGTCCTCAGTCTCTGGTTGTCCATGATCAATTAGCATACAGTCTACAGTCCTCAGTCTCTGGTTGTCCGTGATCAATTAGCATACAGTCCTCAGTCTCTGGTTGTCCGTGATCAATTAGCATACAGTCCTCAGTCTCTGGTTGTCCATGTCTCGACCCCCGTTGTCCATGGGCTCCAGAGGCGACGAGCATTCGCTGATTCAATCAACATATAGCACTCAACTTATTAAAATGTGTTGAAAATGTATAAAATGAGCATGAAACATAAACGTACAATTTATCAAAGAACATAGAAAATTCTCATATTAAATGTTTACAAATCCTGACCGCCTGATTGGTCGCTTCCTTAAACAAAGTGAAGGTGAAGCAAACTCTGACATCTGACAGGAAGTTATTTTGTTGTTTTTGTTCTTTTATTTTGAAGACCACTAACCTCTGAGGACAACTTCCTGAAGGAAATTACATCACCTGGAGGGAATTTCCTGTTTATCTGACCTGTATCAGTTTGTGTTATTTTTATGCATATCTTTATTTATAAATTGTTTGTTATAAAACTTTATGTCTATTTAAGGCTGTTGACTCGGATGTGATGAGCTTCATGAAAAGCTCCGGATGAAAACAAAGTTATAAAAAACCAAACTTAACTCTGGAATCTGCTGAAGTTTGTTGCCTGTTTTCTGGCCAACGATCCTCTTCCTGACCGCCGGCTTTCATCATCAATAAATATCAGATTTTTTTATGGATTACATGATCCTCGGTGGAACTGTTGCAGGGTATAATACGCATTTAATGTTATTAATATCAAATCTAAAATTTTGAGAGTTTATATACGGATCGTGCCTCGATTAGTTTAGTCTGTTTACTGATCGTATCTGATCGTGTCTCGATTGGTCTCGTCTGACTCAGGGTAGTGGAACGCGTTACTTCTGTTCCTCCATTACAACACTGGAAGTGAAAGAAGTAACGTCGTGTCCGTGTCTGTGTTCACCATTCCCTTATACAGGTAAAATTACAAACTTATAAGGTTCAGATCTGTATGTATATGTTTATTCTGTTTGCCGAATAAGCAGGGAGTCTTTGAGTTCTTTACAGTAGTTTGAGTTTTATTAAGCGTTATACTCGCATTAGCTTTCTGGCTAGCAGCAGCCGGTGCTACATTTCTTATTACTGTATGGCGATAACCATAATGTTTCTGTACAATGTTCAGCACTCAGTATGTGGCTATGTAATGTTTGAAACTATTCTTGAAAATACATTACAACACTGGAAGTGAAAGAAGTAACGTCGTGTCGGTGTCTGTGTTCACCATTCCCTTATACAGGGTCAACAGAACCGATGCGAACGGCTCCAGATAAAACTGCTCCTCTAAATGGTGTTGCTTTTTCTCTGAAATATCAAAACATTGGAGCCAAATTCTGGATGGTTGTCGTCCGGCCTCCTGGGTTCACAGCTACAGTTAAAAATTCATAGCAATTTTCACCGTCTGGTTCATTCATTTATAAATATCAGTTTCAAAGTAAATATCTGGCTTCAAACTAAATAAATAGTTAGCCATTTAAATATTTACCTCTGAGGCAAATATTTAGTTTGCAAACTGAACAGTTTGAGGCTTCAAATGAATTATTTAGCTGAGTTAAATATTTAGTTGCCAAGCTAAAAATGAGTGACATGAAGCTTGTTGTGTGCCTGTTGGTGATTAAATATTCATAAACAATGTGAATTCTGTGTTTGCTGGACAGGTTGATGGTGAGTATAACACAGATTGGGAATTGGTCATTTTTAAGGCACTTTAATATATTGCTTTGTGTGACCAGTTTGAGTCACACAATATGAAAAAGTGCAAAAAAAGTTTAGCTTCATAAAACTGAAGCATCAATGATAAGAGATATGTGTTCATCTAAATATTAAAGACTTTGTAAGCTACTAAGCTACTTAACAAAATGTTAATTTGGATCCAAAGTTTCACCTGCAAAGATAAATTCATCCTCATTTTATTTTCTTCATATTTATATGAATTTTTGAATTAGTTATTTTCCACCTATTTATAAAAAAATAGCAACCGTTTTTCCTGCATTTAATGTAAGACTAGAACTCTGCATAATATCAGGAAACGTCTTGAGTAAATGACTGAGGAGCCCAACTGGCATCAATAGTGAAAAACTGACATTAATAGTGAAAAACTGGCATCAATAGTTCTGGATATTTAGTTTGACATGAGAGAAATAATTACTCTGAGCTGTACGTCTTGGAGTTTCCGCTAGGGGCGCTGCCGCGGGTCTGGATTGGGCACCGGAAGTTGAGCCAGGCTAACGCAAGGCGCTATCAGCTAGTAGCCGTGAACATGTCCGGCGGGTCTTCAGCCCAGCAGCTCAGAGAGTTCATCAGCGAGCGGCTGGCTGCCGCCGCGGAGGAAATCTTCTCGGTCTTCCAGAGAACCGTCGCCCAGTACGAGGAAGAGCTGGACCGGCAGCGCAGACTGCTGGACGGCGGCTGGAGGCCGGAGCTCCGGCCGGACCGGACGGGTGAGGACGAACCTGTTGCTTAGACCCGTTTTAAGATGATCCAGAACCAGGTCGGGTTCGGACACGTCCTGCGTGTCATGTCAATCTGCAGCAAAGATGGGACGAAAGTAACAATAACTCAATTTAATCTGTTTAAAAGTGAAAAATATTCAATAAAAAGAAAATCTAATGAAGTTATTGGAAACTGAGCGGATTATCTGATTTAATATTGAGATTATTTCCTGGTCATCTTTTATTTATTTGTTCATTTACAGTTTAAAATGGACATGTTGACATAAACCCAGAACAGGCGGTATGAAAATAACAGCATCTTTGTGATGATGCAGAAGATATCGGTCAAACTGAAAAGTAGGTTTTGTATAACTAGTCTTAAATATAACTAGTTAATATAACTAGTTAAAACAGAGCAGATAAAGCCACAGGCGGAGGAAGTGGGGGGCACCGGGGGCCGATGATCTCGTTCCGTAATCAGTCTGAGTTTCTGATTCTGAGTGATTCAAACTTTCTCTCTGTCAACATCTGACAAAATAACTGGGAAGAGTTTTTATTTTAATTGTTTTGCTTATCCAGATAAAATCTTTGTTTTGTTTCTCCCTGCAGAACTTTCTGTTCAATTCCTGAGGAAGGAAGAAGAGGAAGTTCCTGTTGACCAGCAGCTCTGGAAGTCCAGTTTGGACAGGGAGGAACCAGAACCTTCCCGGGTCAAAGAGGAAGATGATGCTCTGTGCTTCGTCCGTGATGAAGAGCTGTCGGTTCTGAAGCCGGACGGTGATATCGCCATGGTAACGTCTGCTGATGACGAGCCAGAACCCAGCAGGGACCGGAGCGTGTCCCAGTTGGAGACCCGAGACCCGGCGGGAAGCTGGAGCGATGACTCGGACTCGGCCAGAGATCGGACCGGGTTCTGGAGCAGCCAGCAGGAAGGTCAGGAACCAGACGCTCTGACTCCAAACAGCGGCCTGCTTGGCGCCGCTGTCGCCGGGGTCAGAGGTCAGGACGGAAGCTGGATCAAGAAGGAGTTCGAGCCGAAGAGGAGACGGGTCAGGAAGAGGAGCAGCGGTTCCGGCCTGGTTCCGGGTGGACTGGGGCTTCGGCCCGTTTCCTGCGACGTCTGTGGGAAAGCCTTCAGGTGCAACTCGGAGATGCGGGTCCACTTGCGCGTTCACACGGGCGAGAAACCGTTTTCCTGCGACGTCTGCCAGAGGGCGTTCAGCTTCAAGGTCAACCTCTCCGTCCACATGCGGACGCACACGGGAGAGAAACCGTACGCCTGCCAGTTCTGCGAGAAACGCTTCTCGGATCACTCATCCCTCCGGAAACACACCAACGTTCACACAGGAGAGAGGCCGTACTCCTGCGCCATCTGTGGAAAACGCTTCAGCCGCAGCAGCCACATGTGGCGGCATGTCAGGGTCCACGCCGCAGAGGCTCCGCCCACCTGAGGCTCCACCCACATGAGGCTCCACCCACCTGAAGGACGGCTGTAGGTGGAGGCCCGACCCAGTCAATAGGTCCGGTCCGGGTCCAGAACCTTGATTTGTTTTCATCATGTTTCTGAATCGTTCTGGTTCTGCTGGATTTACAGCTGAGACCAGAAGTTTACATACAGCCTATTAAAAAAAACACATCCAACATTTTTATCTCTTCTCTTGCTTCAGAATCACTGAAATTATTTCTGTTTGCTAAACGACTCAATAATGAGAAAAAGAATCTGTCAGAGTTTTATACATTGAGTTTAACGTTACTTAATCACAGATTCCAACGCAGTTTGAAAAGTTTGAACACAGTTAATCCCTTTTTTGTGTTTGTTAAATATGAAGTTTCAGGCTGGAAACTTTTGTTTTCGCACGTTTCCGGGTCATGAGACGATTAAAACTCCAGCAGCTTCCAGGCCAATTATAAGAATAAAATTATAACGCTACAAAATAATCGCACCATTACCTTCATAAAGAAATGACATGAAAAAAAAGTCACAATGTTACGAGAATAAAGTCTGAAAAGTTATTTTGTATGTATTTGTGTTTTTTCTTTTACTCTAAAACACCTTATTTTATATTTTTCTCTGACATTTTAAATATCCTCACCTCCCTAAAATAATGGCATAAATCATTTTTTTTGAAAAGTAATTTTTTGGGGCAAAAAAAAAGATTTATGTAATTATTTTAGGAAGGTGATGATATTAAATCTGATGTTATGACTGCTTACAAAGTACTTGAGTTGCATTTTTAATAAAAATCCTCTTTTCAGTCTTATTTGAGTTATTTCTTGGATTAATATTTTCTAACTGAGTAAAAATACGTGGAAGCAGAATTCCAAAAAAATTATATTCAAGTGAGAGTAGAACTACTGCAACATATTTTTATTCAAGTAAAAGTAAAGTATTTTCATCAATGATGAATCATTTAATATTGAAACATTACATGAAGAGATGGATGAAAATATTAAGTTAAGTGTAAATTTTGGTATTTTAAGAGGCAAAAAATTACAATAATTCTAAGTAACTAAAATCAGTTTCTTTCAATATAAAACTTATGAAATTTAAGAAAAACTGCAGGTGTGTGTCTGTCTGGTGAGTGATTGGTTAAAAATGTTTATTTTTCATTAACTGGGTAGAGAATCCAGATATTCCAGAAGAGTAGAGATACTTCATAAAGTTAAAGTACAGTGTAGTAAAGTACTCTGAATAGTACATTTTTCCAAAAGTGCACTCAAGTAAATGTAATTTACTGTTGCTTGTGTAGACCAAGTGATTATGATTGGCATAACATTCATATGTTTTATATCTGCGCCGCATGTTTTGGTCTCATTTATTGATGAGAAACATTGATGGTCGTCCTGCATCCCGCCGGCAGAGGGCGGTGTCGGCAGCCCCGCCCTCATTTGACAGCCAGGCGGATGTAAACAGCAGCCCGCTGCTTCGTGCTGCAGTGGCTGTTAGCCGTGAACATGTCCGGCGGGTCTTCAGCCCAGCAGCTCAGAGAGTTCATCAGCGAGCGGCTGGCTGCCGCCGCGGAGGAAATCTTCTCGGTCTTCCAGAGAACCGTCGCCCAGTACGAGGAAGAGCTGGACCGGCAGCGCAGACTGCTGGACGGCGGCTGGAGGCCGGACAGCGGCTTCCAGAGAGCAGGTCAGGAGGGCCGCGGTGCTGGTTCCGACCCGGTCCAAGAGGGTCGGATCTGAGCCTCATGGACCGTCTGTTAGGCTAACGGGGAGATTGTTCCTCTGCGTCAGAACAGCAGGCCTGAATCCGGCCTCCATCTTTTCTGACCGCAGAATCAGGGGGTTACCAGCTGATCCACAACACCACCCAGCTGATCCACAACACCACCCAGCTGATCCACAACACCACCCAGCTGATCCACTACACCACCCAGCTGATCCACAACACCACCCAGCTGATCCACAACACCACCCAGCTGATCCACTACACCACCCAGTTGATCCACAACACCACCCAGCAGATCCACAACACCACCCAGCTGATCCACAACACCACCCAGTTGATCCACAACACCACCCAGCTGATCCACAACACCACCCAGCAGATCCACAACACCACCCAGCTGATCCACAACACCACCCAGTTGATCCACAACACCACCCAGCAGATCCACAACACCACCCAGCTGATCCACAACACCACCCAGCTGATCCACAACACCACCCAGCTGATCCACAACACCACCCAGCTGATCCACTACACCACCCAGCAGATCCACAACACCACCCAGCTGATCCACAACACCACCCAGCTGATCCACAACACCACCCAGCTGATCCACAACACCAGCAGCTGATATAGCTTTAAAAAATAGGGCTTCAAAATGAAATGTACTATTTCATCATACTAAATCTGATTTTATTCGATTTCTTTCTAAAAGCTGTAAATTAGAGGACAAAATATATTTTTAAAAATTGGCTTTTATTTCAATCATTTTTCTGAGTTGTATTATGGACTGGCTTTGACAATTTATGTTTTATTAAAAAATATCAGCAGAATAAAGACACGATTTTACCTGAAAAAGTCCTAAAATTATGAGTAAAAAGTTAACTTCATTTAACTTATTTATTATTTTCTGTTGGAGTTCTCATGAAATTACTTTATTATATTATTATTATTATTATTATTATTATTATTATTATTATGCTTCTGTTGCATTCTTGTAATGTTGTGATTATAATGCTTTATTCTTGTTTAATTACAAATGTATTTTGGTAATATTCATGCTTTATTTACATTTTACTCTAATTCTGTTCTTGTAATATTATGATTTAATTTTTTAAAAAAAATTAATGAATCTTAATTTGGCCATAATATTCCATTGGAAGCAATAAAATAAAAACAGTTTTGTCTAATTTGATAATAAATCTTTTTAATGATGCATAAAAATGTGAAACTCCATTCTGGTTTTCTTGCCGTTTTCCTTCCAATAATCTGGATCAATAGTCCTAATCACCAAACACCAGCAGGTCCGATCATATCTGTGGAGAATCAATCAGCTCATCAATATCGGCTCAGATCCAGCTGGATCCCACGTTTTTATGGAGCCATTTATTACTTCATTTATGATTTTAGTGATAAAAATATAACAATTTTATACTTAAATATTACAAAATAAAATCAAAGTTAGACAGAAGCAACAAAAGGTGTAAATTTACCAAAAACAACAACTCTAAACTGTAACTTATTTTATTGCATTCTGTCAAAAGTTTACATACCTGTTAAACTCCAGACAAACCCATATTGAGGTTTGAAATTATTCAGCCTAATATGAAATTTAATTCATTGGGAAAAAGCAAAAGCTTTTTATAAAAAGTGTTAAATAATTTGGGTTCCAGTTACGCTGTGTTGCCATGGTAATTATTAATGTTTTAAAAGCTTCCTTTCTTCCATCAGAGCTGCTGCGACTGCACCTGTGCAAGAAGCCGCAGCTTTTGCACCAGCAGGGGGCGTCGGCGCTGACCCGGCAGCAGCCAGAACCTCCGACAGCAGAACGGAGGAGCCTGGAGGAGCCGCTGGTTCTGAAGCAGGAGGCGGACGCCTTCGTGGCGTCTCACCCAGACGGACGCCGCAGGGCTCCAGAACCGAAACACAAGTTTCTTCTGGAAGGAAGAGAGCAGACCAGAACCAGGAACCCGGCCAGAAGCAGAGAGAGCGGCTCCGCCTCAGAGAACCGAGACCAGAAACCAGGACCAACCTTCCAGCAGAACGCAGAAACAGGTGAGAAGCTTCAATCTGTGAGAAGGTTCACCTGCAGCTCAGGATGACCAGTAGGGGAGCCGGTGGCTTGGAAAAGCTCATTGAGGTTCAGCAGGAAGTGGATCTCCGCCACTTCCTGCTCCAAAATCAGCCAACCTGCAGGTTTTCTACAGGTGAACTGAAGGTGGAGCTCAAACATTCTGCTCATGTCTGTACAACCGTTTAAAAGGCCGGTAGCACGTAGCAGAATCAACGTTTTTGATCTTTCCATCATGTTAAAGTTTTTCCCTGGTCAAAACATTCCTGCAGCGTCGCTTTGATTCTTTCATGTTTGAGAAATCCTTTAATCTCCATGGCAACCAGTCAGCTGGAACTCCTTGGTGGATCTAGCCTCGGAGGAGTAGCTCCTCCCCCACTCGGCTCCCTCAGACTAGCCAGCAGCAATTAGCAAACGCCTGGTGGAATTGCAGAGCTCATTATAGGAGCTGCTGCTCAGAGCAGCGCTGGTAAAAACGATGAAGGTCAATAGAGGAACCAGAGTTAATCAGTTTCTTTGTTTTTCTCCCTGCAGATACTACGGCATCGTGTCCCCCTGGAGGCGGAGCCTCCTGCAGACCGGAAGGAGCAGCAGGAAGCAGAACCTCCACAGATTAAAGAGGAGCAGGACGAGCAGCTGATGATGAAGGAGGAGATTGACTCTTTCACCGTGACGTCGGCTTATGAGGAAAGCGACGAAAGTGAAGCTGAAGGAAAGCAGAACGTTTTCCTCGGCTTCCAGGAGGGAAGCTGGGAGCGAGACTCTGGATCAGCAAGCAGCACTGACCCCATGCCACGTCCTAAACTCATAAGTTACAGTTACAACCCGAGTGCTGAGAGTCTGAGCAACGCCCGGACCAGTGACGGACCCTCAGGATGTCAGCTCTGTGGGAAAAACTTTGGCAGCGACGCAGAATTAAAGGAACATATTAAAATCCACGTGGTGGAGAAGCCATTTTCTTGCAATGTGTGTGGAAAAGCTTTCAAATACAACATCAAGCTGCTGATCCACATGAGGACGCACACTGGGGAGAAACCATTTTCCTGTGAAATCTGTGGTAAAGGCTTCAGCCAGAAGGTGAATCTGAATGTCCACATGAGGACGCACACAGGCGAGAAGCCGTATCTCTGCAAGACCTGCGGAAAGAGGTTCTCTGACCAGTCTGGCTTTAAACGCCACATGACCATCCACACGGGCGAGAGGCCCTACATCTGCAAAACCTGCAACAAAGCCTTCAGGTACAGCGTCCACCTCATGGTCCACATGCGAACGCACACGGATGAGCGGCCATACTTCTGTAAAACCTGCGGCAGAACCTTCTCCGACCCGTCCACACTCCGGAAGCACAGCATGACCCACACGGGTGAGAGATCCTACTCCTGCCAGACCTGCGGGAAGCGCTTCAGCGACAACAGCAACCTGCTGCGGCACATGAGGACGCACACGGGCGAGAAGCCGTATTCCTGCGAGATCTGCGGCAAAAGCTTCAGTCAGAGCAGCAACTTGATGCAGCACATCCGCACCCACACGGGCGAGCGACCGTACCCCTGCGGCATCTGTGACAAGAGCTACAGCCACAGCTGCACGCTGCTCAAACACATGAGGAGCCATTCCGGAGAGAAGCCGTACTCCTGCCAGCTCTGCGGCAGATGTTTCAGTCACAAATGCACGCTGTTGAAACACATGAAGATCCACACAGACGGCGGCGCTGTGCCGTCCTGAAAGCCCTGAACGCATCACGTCAGGGGCCAGCTAGTCGGTTAGTCTGCTAAACATCCTTAAATGTTCCTATTCTAGTTTTTAATTTGTTCATCTTTTTCTGATATGTTCTCTTTTCATAACTGAATTTTATCATATCTGGGAGAAAAACTGAAAGGATTTGTGGATTTTCTGTGGAGCAGCAAATTAATCAAAACATGTTCAAAAGAAGAAAAACTGGCGAGTCAAACGCTGATCCTCCCCACTGCCTGCAGCAACACCGCAGGAAAATATGAATATCTGTATATTGCAAATTTTACTCTGCTTTTTCAAGTCTGAGGATTCATTCAGTGATTCACTGATGGTCACAGACGGACCCAGACGGAAGGAAGCCCACCAGGCCCAAAGCAGGCAGAGCGGGGTTTGAACCAGCAACCCAGCAGTTTCAGGACGAACGGCTCAGTGTTAGCAGCAAACATTTAATTATGAGAATAAATGCACAAAATTAAGAGAACAAAGTCATAATAGTATAAGAATAAAGCTATAATATATGAGAATAATGTAATTTACCAAATTAAAGTTGAAATAATACGAGAATTTAGTGAATTTTTTCTCATAATTAAAATAACTTTCCGTTAGTTTGACCCAAACAATGTGGCTCCTGTTTTATTGTAATTCTGACTTTTTTTGGCAACCCTCAATTTTCTAGTTGCCTACAGTACAATCATCATCATCATCATCATCATCCTAAACTGGCCTTCCTCAGGCTGATCTTCATCATCATCAGACTGGCTGGTAGCTGCAGCATCTTCGCTGTGATGTTTTCGTCTCAGCTGCTTGATGCTCCACATTTACAGACATTTTCTTAAAAGTGATATTAATAAGCTAAAGAAAACCAAATGTTATTTTAGTGGTTGATTTTCAGAGTGGATGTCAGTATAATATGTCTGGGCCTGAAACCACACAGCTGCAGCTCCGTTCATCTGAGCAGGTTGAACTGTTTTATTGCTGATTCACTGTGAGCAGACACGAGTAGCTTAAACTTCCTGCTGTGCAATGAATGATTGTGAGGATAATCAGTGTGCAGGTTGGGCTGAATCTCTTCTGGTGGGAAAGTTTGGTAAAATATCGTCAGCGTAATTTTGTCCATTTATTCTCATTGTAAGTACCAGGCGGTGCAGATTGGAAACGTGGGTTTAAAGGCCCAGGCCTGTTGGACGGTAAACCTCTAAACGTTTTCACGTTGTGTTGTCTAAAAGGATTTACATCAGATGGGACGGCGCGCTGGTCTCGCTGATTTCTACTAACATCCGAGGGATTGAAGACGATGGAGCTCAGAGTTGTTTCCCTTCGACAGTTTGAGCTTCAGGATCTTTAGGCTGATTAGATGCATCTATAAAAACTATATGTACATTAAACTGGTTTGTTGTATGGAACCAGTCAGAACTGAACCATCAGAACCTGCTGACTGGGTCGACCACAGCCTGGTTCTGACTGGGATCCTCTGTGGAAGTTAAATTTCAGAGCTCAATGTGTGTGGCTTTAACACTGAAATTGAAATATTTCTCGTTCGGCGCCTTGACCTGACCCCAGACCACCGACACCACAACCACCCACACACACCTGACCCCAGACACACCTGACCCAGACACACCTGACCCCAGACACACCTGACCCACACACACCTGACCCCAGACACACCTGACCCCAGACACACCTGACCCCACACACCTGACCCCACACACCTGACCCCAGACACACCTGACCCAGACACACCTGACCCACACACACCTGACCCCAGACACACCTGACCCCACACACCTGACCCCAGACACACCTGACCCCAGACACACCTGACCCCACACACCTGACCCACACACCTGACCCCACACACACCTGACCCCAGACACACCTGACCCCAGACACACCTGACCCCACACACACCTGACACACACACACCTGACCCCAGACACACCTGACCCCACACACCTGACCCCAACACTGACCCACACACACCTGACCCAGACACACCTGACCCCAGACACCTGACCCACACACACCTGACCCCACACACACCTGACCCACACACCTGACCCAGACACACCTGACCCCAGACACACCTGACCCCACACACACCTGACCCCACACACCTGACCCCAGACACACCTGACCCCAGACACACCTGACCCCACACACCTGACCCCACACACACTGACCCCACACACACCTGACCCCAGACACACCTGACCCCACACACCTGACCCCAGACACACCTGACCCCAGACACACCTGACCCCAGACACACCTGACCCACACACCTGACCCCACACACACCTGACACACACACACCTGACCCCAGACACACCTGACCCAGACACACCTGACCCCAGACACACCTGACCCCACACACCTGACCCCAACACACCTGACCCCAGACACACCTGACCCACACACACCTGACCCACACACCTGACCCACACACACCTGACCCACACACACCTGACCCCAGACACACCTGACCCCAGACACACCTGACCCCACACACACCTGACCCCACACACACCTGACCCCAGACACACCTGACCCCAGACACACCTGACCCCACACACACCTGACCCCACACACCTGACCCCACACACACCTGACCCCAGACACACCTGACCCCAGACACCCTGACCCAGACACACCTGACCCACACACACCTGACCCAGACACACCTGACCCCACACCTGACCCCAGACACACCTGACCCACACACACCTGACCCCACACACCTGACCCAGACACACCTGACCCAGACACACCTGACCCACACACACCTGACCCACACCTGACCCACACACCTGACCCAGACACACCTGACCCCACACACCTGACCCAGACACACCTGACCCCACACACACCTGACCCCAGACACACCTGACCCCAGACACACCTGACCCACACACACCTGACCCCAGACACACCTGACCCCAGACACACCTGACCCAGACACACCTGACCCACACACACCTGACCCCACACACCTGACCCCAGACACACCTGACCCCAGACACACCTGACCCACACACACCTGACCCACACACACCTGACCCAGACACACCTGACCCCAGACACACCTGACCCACACACACCTGACCCACACACCTGACCCAGACACACCTGACCCCACACCTGACCCAGACACACCTGACCCACACACACCTGACCCCAGACACACCTGACCCCAGACACACCTGACACACACACACCTGACCCCAGACTGACCCAGACACACCTGACCCCAGACACACCTGACCCCAGACACCTGACCCACACACCTGATGACTTCGTCTTCTCTTATTGGCAGATTCTCCTGTTCTCTGATGTTCTCTGTGGAACATGTTGTTGTTATTTGCATTTTTTTCAGAGTAGATCTAAAATCAGCTTGGGAAGCTGAGGTACCTCAACGTCACTGAACTCAATCCAAGGATTCAGCTTTTATCTGATTGGCTGAACCCTACAAGAAGATGACGACTGTTAGCTGCTGTGGCAGAGCCAAGATGGCTCCCAAAGTGTCTTGCTGCACATTGAGGTGAGTTTGTTCTGGTTTGGGTTGTGGAGCAGCGAAGCGCAGAAGCTCTGAGCGGGGAAAACGTTCAGCCCAGAGACCGCGTTCAGCTCCGCTCCACCGGGTCCGACCCGCCGCAGACTGCTGGAGCTGATTGGATCAGCCACACCAATCAGGAACGGACTTTCTGATCAGAGGGTTCTGGTGGTTTCAGAACCTGGTTTTGCAGAATATCAGCTTCTTCTAGACCTCAGTGAAAATACTTTATTAATCTCAAAGGGAAAAAACTTATGAATTTAGATTCTTCAGCAGTTATTGAAGATGGTGGGATGGATGTCCTGCAGCAGTCTGTACTGCACTGAGTCTGAAGAAGCCTCTGACTGAAGAATTGATCGTCCTGAAACATTGCTTCATTTAATCAGCTTCTTCAGATGAAAATGATTTTAGTTTGCATCCTAACGGGATTATTTTTATTGACCTGGTTCAGTTTTATCTGTGTGTTATTGTTTTAAACTCTTGCAGTTTTGTGTTTGACCTGCAGAAAACAAGATTAAACAACAAGAATCACTAAACATTTTCTTACATGGTCGTTATAATTAGCTGATATTTACTACAGTCCAAAAAGCTTATTGTGATTTTGCTAAATTTGTGATTTATTGTTCTATTAATGAAGATTATTATTCTATGACTTTATTAATATAATTGTTATATTTATGGATTCTGTCAAGCATTTCCAGGGACTTGATTCCCAGGATCAAGTCGGAGATTAATGAAATCTCAAAGCGCCACCTAGTGGATGCTTTTAACTGTTCAGACTGATTGAAGGTTGCAGCATGAAGCAGTCGGTAGTCTTGCAGCTAGAAGGTTGTGGGTTTGAATCCCAGCCTGGGGTCTTCCTGCATGGAGTTTGCATGTTCTCGCCATTCGTTCAGGAGTTCGGCTTCCCCTGCGACAGAGAGACGGCGTGTAACTGAGACCAAACAGTTTCCTGTCTCTGTAGATCAGGGGTGTCCAAAGTGTGGTCTAGGGGCCAAATGTGGCCCTTGAGCGGTCCCCAACTACAATTCAAAAATGATACAAATTTGGCCCGTAGATTCAGATGGAAGATTTAACTTGTAATTTTCTTACAATGGAAAATGTAAAGTAAAACACAAAGTGTAACCAACTAACCTTTAACATTAGAGGAAATCATGTTTATTCAAAGACTTTTACTAAAATTATTTACCAAAATCAGCTTTTATTTAATCTGTTGAACTTCACTAAACATAGCAAATGTTTTGAAAGAAAGTGATCTGTGGTCCAGCAGGACTGGGCATGTGAAGAATCTCAAGTGTTTTGGCTGTTTAGCAGTTTTCTGAAAGTTTCTTTCAGATTTGTGGTGCAAAGAAGCTGAAGCTTCTTTTATTTGTGAGAGTTTAAGCCAAACATGGATGAATGAACAGCTGGTTTATCTTTCTGATTAACTCTTGCAGTGCTTTGGTCCACTGTAGATCTTTATAAATGAAGCTGGATTGAGGTTATTATTTGTTGGGATGGATTTGTGAACAAAAATTTAACTATACAGCTATAAAAACTGAGATTTTTTTGCACTCATACAAAGTAAAGTTCCCAATTAAATGTAAAATAAACTATTTTAATCTTTTTATCTATGCAGAAACTTTTGTTTAATGACCGCATTTTAATTAATAGACAAATGTTAAAATTCTGTCTCTATGCAGCTTTATTGCTTATTTTGCCTTGAGAAACCTCGGGATAACTTGCAGTATTTATTTAATTAGTGCTTCAGGTTGCTTCTGAATTTGGACGAAACCAGAAAAGAAAGGGAATATTTAGTTTTATGAACTTTCATGAAGCGTTTTCAGCAGGAATATTTCAGAGCAGCAGTTTGCTGCTCCGCCAGCAGGGGGCGGTGATGTAACCGGACAATTCAAACTGTTGAAGAAGAAGCCGCCGGCGCCATTGTTGTGTTGCAGTGGCTGTTAGCCGTGAACATGTCCGGCGGGTCTTCAGCCCAGCAGCTCAGAGAGTTCATCAGCGAGCGGCTGGCTGCCGCCGCGGAGGAAATCTTCTCGGTCTTCCAGAGAACCGTCGCCCAGTACGAGGAAGAGCTGGACCGGCAGCGCAGACTGCTGGACGGCGGCTGGAGGCCGGACAGCGGCTTCCAGAGAGCAGGTCAGGAGGGCCGCGGTGGGCCTGCGGGCTGCAGGGTCCGGGCTCGGTTCTGACCCAGGGTGTCTCATGTTCACTGGACCTGGAGAGCCGAGAGATCAGAGTGAATCTGTGGACCCGCTCCTTTTCAGTGAGCCGGTGGAGAAACCGACCGGAGGAGAAACCGCCCCAACATGGGGCAAAATCCCTCATGTTGGCTTCGAGCTCCGATTGAAATGTAACAAAACAAAACATGCAGTGCTCAGCATCAATAAGTTCACCTCATTCTAAAAGTAAGATTTGTTGAACCAAAATCTCAATAAACACGAGAAACTAGTTTAATTAGTTTAACTAGTTTAAGTGGTTTAGATCCCAGTGTGAGCTGTTATGTCCACCCTGTGATCTGAGACAGCAGGGAGCTTCTGTCTCCACTGGTTGACAAATGATGCGGGTCTTCATCCGTCCATCGATTGATTGATCGGTTTATTGGAAGTATTGGCTACAAACCACACTTGTGACGTTTGAACCAAAAGTTAATGTTCACCAATAAAATATCACCTGTGATTCAAAAACTACCAGTATTCAAATACAATAAAACAAATTCATAATTTCTTATCAATTGACAATAATGGGTCATCAGATTAAATTCCATATTTTTCTAGTAGTTTTATATTTGGGTCTAAAATACATATTTACTGTTGCAATAATCAGTAAATCAATGAATCGCAAGATAATTTGAAACAGGCTCAATAATTTCCATTTGCATGATTTATTGTTTTTCTCTCTTTCTACAGAAACTGGATGAAAAAAAGTCTCCAGTCATTTCGGTGTTTTGGTCTCAACCAGCCCAGTTTTGTTTGAAAATGTAATAATTCATTTGATTTGTTATTTCTGTTGTTATGTTTATTTATCTTGGACTCTTATAATGTCTCCCAGTTCCAGTTTTGTTATTATCATTATATTACTTTAAAATGATCTTAAAACAAAGGATTTATCATTTAGGATCAGATATATGTGGTAATAGTCAAACATAAGGAAGGTTCTGGTTCCGACCCGGTTGAGCGGTCAGGGTCTGAACTCTGATCTGACGCGCCTCGTTTCTCTGCCCAGATCCGCCGCTGCAGCCATTTCCCTACATGGACGAGCCGAACCTCCAGATCCAGAACCGCTGCCTGGACCTGGACGAACCAGAACCTCTACAGGTCAAAGAGGAAGACGAGGAGCTGCGGATCAGCCCGGAGGAAGAGCAGCCGGTTCTGAAGCATGAGGCCGACGTGCTCACTGCGGCTTTGGCTTACGAAGGACCCGGTACCGAACCGGAACCGGGCCGGGACCGCTTTCCCCCAGCCGAGAGCCACGACCGGCCCAAAGGCTTCGAACCGCCCAAGAAGCCGAATCAGAACCACAGCAGGGCTGAGCGATCCAGCTGGACTCAGAAGTGTGACGTTTGCGGCAAAGCGTTCAACAAAGCGTCGGAGCTGCGCGCGCATTACCGCATCCACACCGGGGAGAAACCGTTCTGCTGCCCCACCTGTCAGAAAGCCTTCACCTTCAAGTCCAACCTACGGGTCCACCTGCGCACGCACACCAACGAGGCGCCGTTCTCCTGCCAGACCTGCGGCAAGCTCTTCAAGCACCGCAGCAGCCTGATGGTGCACTGCCGCAGCCACACCGGGGAGAGACCGTACGCCTGCGCCGCCTGCGGGAAGCGATTCACAGACAAGTCCTCACTCAAGCAGCACTCAGTGACTCACACGGGCCACAGGATGTACTCATGTGCGCTGTGTGGGCGGGGCTTCAATAGGAGCAGCTACCTGCTGCAGCACATGAAGGTCCACACGCCTGAGAGTTTCTCCACGAGTTAGAGGAACTCAAAACCGCTCCCGGAATTGTGCTTACTCAGCAAACCTTCCCCATCTCATCTCAGTTTAAGTATCATCCTTCAGGTGTGTTTTCCAAAATGTTGCATTTAGCTGAGAAGTGTCTAAGTTCACCTTTGGTTCTCCCAGTGTTTTTAAGCCTGGCGGGTTACCAGGCTCAACTTGCCTAATCGTCGTTTATTTATTCTAAATAAGTTTTTTATACACCAGTAAGCTGGTTTATAGGTGATGAAATGATGCGTCCCTGAACCTCTCTGTAGAGCTCATGCTATCATTTCCAAATCATGTCGTCTTCTCAAGATGCGCCTCATAAATTTTGTAATTTTTCACAATTTTTAACTGCCAAGCTTAGCATGTTTTCTGGGGGAAACCCGTCTCCTGTTTCTGTGAGAATTTGTGAAGAACAAATCAGAGAAACCTAATTTCTGATTGAAATCAGTTTGTGTTTCGCTTTCTACTTACTTAGTCACTTATTTTCAAAGTCTGACTTTTATATCAGTCGTCCCTGTGAGTTGTATGACAGAGTGTTTGAAAATATGGGAATTTTTGTCAGCGGAATAAAGAAAAATGTCTTAAAATTACTGGACAAAGTAGTTTGATTGAGAAAAAAGTTACAATAGTTACCAGGGTTGGTTGTTGCTCAGTGGTTTTAAAGTCTTGGTGCTGATAATAATCTGTTAAAAAAAGATTTCCTTATCTGTAAAAACTGATACCAAAGTATAACTTCATAAAATGCTCAATATTCCTCATTTTTATTTTTTGTGTTCTCCTAAAAGTACAGCTTGATTTTTCTAATGTTATGACTTTATTCTGGTCATATTAATGCTTTATTCTCGCTTAATTAACTGAAATCATTTTGATTATTTAGCTTGTCTTAAGAGAAACAAATAGGGGTTAACTTTTTTGTTCTGCCATATTTTCAACATTCATTTATTAATGTCAATTTCAAACAAAGTCTTTAATTAGCATTTAGATAATTAGATATATAACTCAAAGATTTAGTTTGTACCAGAAGGTTTACTTGCTAATTAAATATTTAACTTATTATCTAAATATTTAGCTTGAAGATAAATATGTAGTTTTCTAACTAGAAATCTTGCCAATTTTCTATTTACCTTGCTAACTAAATATTTAGCTCTGAGCTAAATATTTAGTTCAATATTTTGCTGGCTTACAAAATGGCTTGCTAACTTATATTTATTACTAATTATATTTAACTTCAAACTGGATAATTAGCTGCTAATGAAGTATTTAGCTCCAAGCTGAATATTTAATTTAGTTTGCTAAATAAACTTGACTAAATATTAAATTTGAAGCCAAATATTTACCTGCTAACTGGATATAGTTTGATAACTAAATAGTTACATTGTTTACTAAAATATGAGCTTCAGGCTTGATAATCAGTTTGATCACTGATAGCTTCATTTACTGAAAGGCTTACAAATAATTTGCTTAATGGATGAACAACAGTTTCTTCTTCAGTCATAAAGAGGTAAAGAACCAGGAATAGAAAAGTAAAACTTTATTATGAAATGAATTAGTAAAGTTTTCAGCTGATAAACTGAAGCAAGAAGCAAAAAGAAGCCAAAGTTTCACTAAACCATAAATTGTCACTTCTAGTTGAGAACAAAATGGCTCCTGTTTGTAAAGTTACACATTGAAAATAAACCGCATTAATTTGAGTTTTACACACATCATGTCAGCAAGGAAAATATTCAGCTTCAAAATAAATAATGAGCCTGTTTGACATGAGGATGAAGAAAAAACAAAAACTTTATAAAATCATAAATTAGCAGTAAAAATTGAGAACTATCAGCGACTCGTCCAGTGTGTCGTTAAAACATCCAAACGGTTCTTCCCGCTCCAGCAGACTCGGTTCGATCCAGATCTCAGTGGAGCCGTTTTTCTGTCCCAAACTCTGTCTGCAGTTTCCGGGTCCAGGTCCAGTCGGATCCAGGCAGAACTTCCTGTTGCTCTCAGTGATGACTCTGCAGGAGAACACACAGCTTCTGGGTCAGAACCGGACCTGGGTCAGAACCGGACCGGCCAACTGGGTCCGAACGGGACCGGCTGACCGCCCAGCACCAGAACAAAGTTCATATTTTGGTATTTAGAATCATTGTTTCCTTCGTGGTTTTGGTCTAATAATAATAATAATAATAATAATAATAATAATTATTATTATTATTATTATTATTAATGAATATAATAATATTCAGATTTGCTCTGATCACAAATTGAGACTTTTATTTTGAAACGCTGGCTTGGTTCCAGCAGCCATGTTGGTTCCAGCAGCCATGTTGGTTCCAGCAGCCATGTTGGTTCCAGCAGCCATGTTGGTTCCAGCAGCCATGTTGGTTCCAGCAGCCATGTTGGTTCCAGCAGCCATGTTGGTTCCAGCAGCCATGTTGGTTCCAGCAGCCATGTTGGTTCCAGCAGCAGTGTGCTCAGTGAACCCAGAATGTCCGTTTGATGCTAATTATGATACTGATTCTGTTTGCAGTGATTGTTTCAGTCATTTATGAAAGTTGTGCTGAACTCACATCACAGATCTGACTCTGCAGTGAATCAGAGAGTTTTTCATCTCCTTCACTTTCCCTATGGGGATCGGCGTCCTGCCGTTGTCTTGGCAGCAGGGGTCCAGTATCATGCCTGGACCGACTGGAGCTGCGAACCAAAGCAGAACTTCAGCACCAACAACAGATTCATAGCTGCAGCAGCTGCAGCAGAGCAGCAGCTGCAGCAGCAGCTGCTGCTGCTGCAGACAGACAGAGGAGAGGAGGAGGAGATTCTCCATCAGTAGTAGGAGAAAGTTCTGACCTGCAGAGCTGGACCGCGGGAGCAGAGGAGAGCCAGGAGGCAGAGGCTCAGCTGGAGCTACATGGTTCCGGAGGTTCTGGAAGTGTGCGGGACCGGTCCGGCCGGCTCCGTTTATATGTTGAGCAGCAGCTGTTCTCAGAAAGCAGCGGCTGCTCCTCCTCATCCTCTTCCTCTTCCTCCTCTGGATTCCCTGACTGAGATTCACAGAACATCTGCGAGGAAGTGAAACTGGAAAGGAAAAATGCTGAAACACACATTTCACCACCAAAACACAGAAATACCTTTAAAATCGTTTTCCATGCACTGCAGACTGAGAAATAAAAATCTTCTTAGAAGATCGATGCCTGAAACTGTTCCAGAAAGTTTATAAAACATTTTCCTGTCAGTCTGCAACTCAGCAGATTATATTATCATCATCATCATTATTATTATTATTATTATTATTATTATTATTATTATTATTATTATTGTTAATAATAATAATAATAATAATGTGTCGGTGGGACGTTTATATAAAACGTCAGTACCTCACGTAGACACTAGGCGGCCAGTGACGGGGATATTTATGCTTCAGAAATGTAACAACTGTGCTTTTCTTTAATTATTGTTTCCAATTCATTATATTCATTTATATTGAGAATTTGTGATTTTTTTCTTATTTAGTTCTTTTTATTTCCTGTTTTTGCCTGCAAGGGGGCGCCTTTTTGCACTCTGCCTCGTTTTGTCTCCTGGGCTTCCGTAGTTGGCTCCAGCCCTTGTAGCTCCTCCCCTTTTCCTCCAGGAAGTTCTGCTGCTGCAAGTCAGTCAGAGGAAAGTTGATATTTGTTGGTTTTCTCAACGGATCTTGTTTATTACTGTTTGTTAATTTGCCATGTTGCGGTTTTGACCAAACAGTTTTCATAAACAGTTTATCATCATTTTCTCTTAAATGTTGGCCCCAACAGCCGTGCAGCTCAGCTGAATTGGTTTTATTGTCACATTTGCGGCTGGAGAGGGGGTTGGCTTGTTTTTACTCTTCTCCCCATAATAAAAGATGTCATTGGCTCCTGGCTGAATGGCCTCTGAAGCTCATTGGTGCCTCCTGGTGCAGAAGCGCAAAGAGCCCGTTCTGAGGCCGGCGCTGTTCTGGGCGGTTCATAGAGACAACATGGCGGAAGTGGCGCCATGTTGGCGGAAGGGTTTTTCAGAGTGAAGTGTCAGCACTGGTTCCTGTCCGGATCAATACAATGGTGAGAAAAATGAATCATTAGGAATGTTGCTGCAATCCGGACTTTAACGACGTCCCTGAACGTAACCAGATTACGCCGGACGTCGTCTGCACGTGCTAACTACAAGCTTATTTATCTGTATGTTTTACATTTATGTTATTATTTATTTGATAAGAAAAAAAACAAAGACAACCCTATGGCTGCATGTTTATAGTGTTAAGAATTAAAAAGAGGAATAACTTGATTTAGCTCGTTAATTAATTCTTAGTCCCGAATTCCTGTGCCTGTATACGTGTGCAGAGAGAAAAGAGCAATCATACGACGTCAGACTTCAGATATTCAGAGTTTTATCTAGAGAAATTCAATCCAAGAAGAACTTTACAATAAGCCTCTCACCTAGAGCAAAAGTCCAAGACATTACAAAACAGAGACAAAGAACTGAGTAAAAAAAGACAAAAGAATAACAGAAGATGCATCCTCCGGGAAACTCTCACTCAGCACAAAGAGATTCCAACTTCTGCTGTGAAACAAACCATTTTTTATAGACTGCGTATTCTCCTCATTTAAATATATGCATTAGGAGGTGTGTTCTTTTCCTTTGTGTGGGCTGTCTAATGTTAATTTTATTACCTCTGAGACCCAACCTCCGTACCAGGCTCCGACCTGATTTACAGCGTGGAACTGGAACGTTATCTCTGCCTCAAGATGCTTCAACAAGAAAGTAGTTTGTATTTTTAACCAAGCTTGCACAAAATGTAATGCTAAATAAGGACTATAAGTTTGGATCTAAACTAACTAATTAAAAACATGCTTAAAGAAATATAGTTAATTCTAATATAGATAAAATTATTTATAAAAAGTTTTAAGATCCTAGTGAACTTTTGAACCATGCTCAGGAATTTAATTGCCTGGCAGACAGACTCTCTGTGTAAAGAGATTCAAGGAGTCTAAGACTGTTTTCTGATTAGGAATTTCTGTAAGTTCTGAGAGTCACCAGCTGTCCCAGTTTGGATCTGTATCTAAGTTTATCTTAACCTAAAAGTTAACTTATGTACTATTGTGCTACTTTAAAATTCTTATTTCAACAATAGATAATAAAACCTGCAAAGACCATCAACAATTTGTTTAAATAGAATAAAATGAACAAAATAATAATAATGTGATTAAGATTTCTGAATGAAAAACAATAAATGCTTTTAAATGAGCACATTTCTGGTTCATCTTTACTGAATTCGTAAGTCTTGAAATTTATATTTTAAAGTCAGTTATGGTCTAATGAGAATTTTTTTAAAGTAATATCTTCCATTTTTTAATGAAATTTGTCACCCTGTTGTTCTGCCTGACAGATACGTACTTTGATCATTTTGTCGTGTTTTCTGCTGATCTTCTCGTTTTAACCAAAGGCCTCCAGGCAGCTGAAGATTCAACCTGAACTTTTCCGTATTCTGTCATTTTACAACCACAAGCATAAACGGGATTTAATAATTGTAACTTAATTTCACGTTTGTGGTTGTGATGTGACAGACTATGGAAGTAAAAAAAAACATAAAAATAAAATAAATAGTTTAAGTTTCCCTTCATTTAAAGTCTGAAGATTTGCGGAAACATTTGGATGTCGAGCGTTTAATTCATAAATATGGAGAATTCAGTCCAGCTGAACTGCAGGAAACGAAACCGCCGCCGCTTTTAAGAGAAACAATCCGTCTGCTGATTCCTGCTAAATATGAAAAAACCTTCAGCTTTAGTTTGAAGAAAACCCAGAGAAAAACTTCAAGCCAACTGAACATACAGGAAAACGTCCATCAGAGGAAATAGATGTTTTATTTTTCACTCTGCAGCCCTATCAACTTTATAATGTCATTAAAGTTTGTAGCTTTAATAAGTTTTTATTCTTTAATGGGGAATAAATGATCATTCCTGAGCTTCTGAATGAAAATCAGTTTGTATTTTTATTGAGTTTCATTTCTTCTTCTGGTTCACAGAAGAATCCTGCCATGTTTGTCTGGTTCCAGTGGCAGCAGTTTAAAATGAAACTTCGTCTTCCTCATTTTAAAGAGACGGGTCAGAACATTTCCTCCTGACTGATACTGGGAACGCAGGTCTACTGGGAACACAGGTCTACTGGGAACGCAGGTCTACTGGGAACCCGATGAGGTAACTTCCTGTCTGGACAGTCACATGATCAGCTCAGGTGAGTCTTCACAGGTCAGGAGTTAACTAAAACTAACAAAATAACTCAAACTGAAACAAATAGAAATAGTAATTAACGGAAAAATCATTAACTAACTGGAATTAAATTGTGTTTGTCAAAGTAAAACAAACTGAAATTATTGATATATTTTGTTTCCATGCTGATTATTTATTGGCCTTTAGAACTGATGTGATTCTTTTCAGAAACGAGTCGACGGCCATTTAATGCTTCGTTTGGTCCTGAATTTGACCCAACCTGAAACTAAATGGTTTAATTCTCCAGGCTTTTGAAAACTTTTTCTGCCTCGTCGTTTAATACAAACTTTGCAGCTGCAGATAGTTAGCTATGTGGATCGCCTCGATGCGGGTAGATCCTCTAGGTTATAAGAGAAGTCTTTTTCACACAGAGGATACGGATCATATTCTAAATATACACATATATTTTCCACCATTTCGGGTGTGAGCAACTCGTGATCCGTTTAGCTTTGTTTGGAACTGGAGAAATCCACTTCCAGATCTCCATCTGAATTTCACTCGCCGTCCGTGTCTGAAACCCACCAAGAGCAAAGATAACTTTTAGGGTTTCAGTGGAATTAAGTTACTTCTTTAAGTAGTTTGACATTTATTTCCATGCTCTTATTTTGAAATCTGATTGTTTCTTTTTGATAGTTCAGTTTCTGGTAAATAACTGATGACGGTACAATAAGTCGGGTTCCATAAAACACAAAAGACAGAGGAAAGGAGCTTTTATTTTGAAGAGTCTGAATGCATCATAGCTTTTAATCATCTGCACACAAACAGGAAATTAGCCAAATCAGAAGCTTTGATCCGGACTCTGAGACGGTTCTGACCGTTCAGACAGAAACTCGCTGGTCAACTCGTCACATCTGGTTTCAAATAAAATCACATCTGTAATGTCTCTGCTGCCACAATAATAAATAAAAAAAAACTTTTTATTTTATGAACATTGTTCATAAAGGAGATGAGATTCAACCAAATACTGTTTCACAAACAGCTTCATAAAATCACCAGGATGTCATGAATAAAGCAGCAACAACACAAGTCAACATGTATCAAAGTGAACGAGGCATGATGACCAACTACAAACCTGCATCCACTGAACTCTGACCTCATCCAGTTATTGAGACCAGGAAGCATCAAACCAGATGTTTTTCATGATTTCATTTAGTGTTTAAACGATGAAACTGAACCGATTTATCCTCAGACAATAAACTAACAAAATAAAGAAAATAGAAATAAAAAATGTGAAAACTTCAAAATGTGAATAATTGAGCTCAGTTTGTCTCATTCAGACGAAACGATTCGTCTGAATGAATCCATGGCTCATTTATTCTCACTGAAGAGAAACTATAGAGCTTTACAGCTGTTATGATGCAGCTGCATCAGTAGCTGCATCAGTAGCTGCATCAGCAGCTGCATCAGCAGCTGCATCAGTAGCTGCATCAGTAGCTGCATCAGTAGCTGCATCAGCAACTGCATCAGTAGCTGCATCAAGGTGAGCTGCATCAGTAGCTGCATCAAGGTGAGCTGCATCAGTAGCTGCATCAAGGTGAGCTGCATCAGTAGCTGCATCAGTAGCTGCATCAGTAGCTGCATCAGTAGCTGCATCAAGGTGAGCTGCATCAGTAGCTGCATCAGTAGCTGCATCAGTAGCTGCATCAGTAGCTGCATCAAGGTGAGCTGCATCAGTAGCTGCATCAGCAGCTGCATCAGTAGCTGCATCAGCAGCTGCATCAGTAGCTGCATCAGTAGCTGCATCAGTAGCTGCATCAGTAGCTGCATCAGCAGCTGCATCAAGGTGAGCTGCATCAGTAGCTGCATCAGTAGCTGCATCAGTAGCTGCATCAGCAGCTGCATCAGTAGCTGCATCAAGGTGAGCTGCATCAGTAGCTGCATCAGCAGCTGCATCAGCAACTGCATCAGTAGCTGCATCAGTAGCTGCATCAGCAGCTGCATCAGTAGCTGCATCAGTAGCTGCATCAGTAGCTGCATCAGTAGCTGCATCAGCAGCTGCATCAAGGTGAGCTGCATCAGTAGCTGCATCAGTAGCTGCATCAGTAGCTGCATCAGCAGCTGCATCAGTAGCTGCATCAGTAGCTGCATCAGTAGCTGCATCAGCAGCTGCATCAGTAGCTGCATCAGTAGCTGCATCAGTAGCTGCATCAGTAGCTGCATCAGCAGCTGCATCAAGGTGAGCTGCATCAGTAGCTGCATCAGCAGTTGCATCAGTAGCTGCATCAGCAGCTACATCAGCAGCTGCATCAGTAGCTGCATCAGTAGCTGCATCAGTAGCTGCATCAGCAGCTGCATCAGTAGCTGCATCAGTAGCTGCATCAGTAGCTGCATCAGCAGCTGCATCAGCAGCTGCATCAGCAGCTGCATCAGCAGTTGCATCAGTAGCTGCATCAGCAGCTACATCAGTAGCTGCATCAGTAGCTGCATCAGTAGCTGCATCAGCAGCTGCATCAGCAGTTGCATCAGTAGCTGCATCAGTAGCTGCATCAGCAGCTGTATCAGCAGTTGCATCAGTAGCTGCATCAGCAGCTGCATCAGCAGCTACATCAGTAGCTGCATCAAGGTGAGCTGCATCAGTAGCTGCATCAGCAGCTGCATCAGCAGTTGCATCAGCAGCTACATCAGTAGCTGCATCAGTAGCTGCATCAGCAGCTGCATCAGCAGTTGCATCAGTAGCTGCATCAGTAGCTACATCAGCAGCTGCATCAGTAGCTGCATCAGTAGCTGCATCAAGGTGAGCTGCATCAGTAGCTGCATCAGCAGCTGCATCAGCAGCTGCATCAGTAGCTGCATCAGCAGCTGCATCAGTAGCTGCATCAAGGTGAGCTGCATCAGTAGCTGCATCAGTAGCTACATCAGCAGCTGCATCAGCAGCTGCATCAGTAGCTGCATCAAGGTGAGCTGCATCAGTAGCTGCATCAGCAGCTGCATCAGTAGCTGCATCAGTAGCTGCATCAGCAGCTGCATCAGTAGCTGCATCAAGGTGAGCTGCATCAGCAGCTGCATCAGTAGCTGCATCAAGGTGAGCTGCATCAGTAGCTGCATCAGTAGCTGCATCAGTAGCTGCATCAGTAGCTGCATCAGCAGCTGCATCAGTAGCTGCATCAAGGTGAGCTGCATCAGTAGCTGCATCAGCAGCTGCATCAGTAGCTGCATCAGTAGCTGCATCAAGGTGAGCTGCATCAGTAGCTGCATCAAGGTGAGCTGCATCAGTAGCTGCATCAAGGTGAGCTGCTACCTGAGGATCTGTGGCTCTGATGGAGAACATGGAGCCATTTAGAAAAGTGCAGCAGCTGCACTTTTCTAAATTTGTTCGTACGGCAAGTTTTAGAGTGAAACCGTGTTTGAGACAGGAGGATCTGGTTTCACAACATTACATTAAAAATGAAAACATGAGGTATTTATGTTCTCCCCACTGGACCAGATGGTACCGGACAGTACCGGCGGTACTGGAGAGGCTGCCAGGTCTGTACCTATGGTGGAGGCAGCATCATGCTGTGGGGTTGTTCAGCTGCAAGATGATTTACACTGGTTTGAAATGGTTCCAGTCTGAACTGGGTCTAGTGATCCACAGTGAAGCTGCAGTGGATCACTAGATCCACTCGATCACATTGACCGGGTCTCAGAACCGGCTCGTCTGGACCGGCTCACAGCGTTTCTGCAGGAATCCCGAGTGAGGAAAGTTTGGTGGAAGTCAGAGCTAATGTTGAGAGTTCAGCTGCCCGGCGTCAGGCCAGTTCTGTCGGGTGTTTCTGGACCTGCAGCGGTTCTACTGGGAGTGACTGGGCCTCACGCAGGTGCAGCCGACCGGAACCGCCATCAACTCCTTCCAGATGTCAAATTTGTTTGGGTCGCTGGGACACGGCTTCTTGCTCAGAACCATGGTCTGGAACCGGGTCGTTCTCCAGAACTTCAACCTGATCAAAAGCCAAATCCAAACTCTGAGTGTCTTTTAAAGCTACGTTTCTTTGGATTCATTTATAGATCTATAAATTTATTGAGCTATAAAAAAATGGCTAAATAAAAAATAATTTATTTATAGATTAACATAAATAAATGATTTTATAATTGTTAGTATTTTATTTATTATTTTATATGTAAATCACTTTTAATAACACACCTATGTACATATCTCTTTATGTCGCTTATGTGGTTTTATTTGTATTAACTAATATTTAACACATTGGATGGAGTAACTTGTCAATAAATAAACAATTTTTCTTTGGAGATCAATACAGTATTTCTATTATATCTACAGTAAAATGAAATAATTCATTTATTGAGGATTTTTACATGAAAGAAAACAGCGCCTTCTGGTGTGCGAAGGCAGCAGGTTCAGTTTGTTGTCAATGTTTTGTTTCCTCTCGGACATACATCAGGGACAAAGCCTCAACAGACAATGTGCTCAGTGAATGTCTCAGACAACAGGGAACGGAGGTTGAGGTGCCAGAGATACCATCATGGGAGGACAAACCCCTACATGGGATGTACCACCAGCAAATAACCCAAGTGGCTGATATCAGTAAATCCTACCAATGGCTGGAAAAAGCTGGACTCAAGGACAGCACAGAGGCCCTCATCCTGGCCGCCCAGGAACAGGCCCTAAACACCAGAGCAATAGAGGCCCAGATCTACCACACCAGACAAGACCCAAGGTGTAGGTTGTGCAAGGAGGCCCCTGAGACAGTCCAGCACATCACAGCAGGGTGCAAGATACTGGCAGGGAAAGCGTACATGGAGCGACATAACCAAGTGGCAGGCATAGTGTACAGAAACATCTGTGCAGAATATGGACTGGAAACCCCGAGATCAAAGTGGGAAACACCCCCAAAGGTGGTGGAGAACGCCAGAGCTAAGATCCTGTGGGACTTCCAGATCCAGACAGACAAAATGGTAATGGCGAAACAACCAGACATTGTCATAGTGGATAAACATCAGAGGAAAGCCATTGTGGTAGATGTAGCAATACCAAGTGATTGCAACATCAGGAAAAAGGAGAAACTGGAGAAATACCAGGGCCTCAGGGAAGAACTGGAGAGGGCCTGGAAGGTGAAGACCACAGTGGTGCATGTGGTCATCGGGGCCCTCGGGGCAGTAACCCCAAACTGGAGCAGTGGCTACAACAGATCCCAGGAGCAACATCAGACATCTCAGTCCAGAAATGTGCAGTCCTTGGCACAGCCAAGATACTGCAGGACCCTCAAGCTCCCAGGCCTCTGGTAGAGGACCAGAGGATAAGAACCACCTGCGGTGGGTGAGAAGGGAATTTTATATATATATATATATATATATATATATATATATATATATATATATATATATATATATATATATATATATATATATATATATATATATATATATATGGTGGGTGAGAAGGGAATTTTTATATATATATGTGTGTGTGTCCTTTATTTTGTTTAGTTTTGATCTTCAGTTTTATGCTCCTTTAATAGAATTTAATAAATCACTCTACGCTTTGAGTAAAATTTTTATTGAAAAATTCGTCCTTTAATGTGTTGACAGTAGTCTATAATGTGTTTCCAAGAGAATATGACGTCGTGTTTGTAAATTTACAAAGACAAAAATGATCAACAATAATCGAGTTATTTAGCCTGTGATGGTGGTTCATTATTCCGTCATATTTTCACTCATGTATTAATTTATGTCGGTTTTAAAACTAAATATTTAGCTCCATTCAGAAAAATTTATCTTGAGCTAGCAAAATGATTAGTTTACGAACTAAATATATTTAGCTAACATGCTAATTCACGTGTCGATAAGTGGAAGTGGACTATCAAAATAAAAGCTGTGTGATACATGCGGATCAGATTATTTTATTTCTAAATAAAACAGTGTGATGTGCGGTGTTGTCTTCCTCCTGCGGTATTACAGCAATAGTTTCCCTTACCAATATGGCGGCGTTTTTAACGGGCGAAACTATGAGAGAAGAAGCCTCTCATTGCGGGTGTAATTACACGCCGGCAGGCGGGATATATTGTCAACTAAGGAATAAGGTTCTGTGGTTTATAAAGGCTGTTAATAAATAGTCGCAGTTATTGAACAATGCTTCGTGTTTTCTGAATCAATCTCGAGATAAACCAGAGATTTCTCCTTTCTCCAACCCTTCTCTGAGCCGCGGGAGTGGTACAGCCCAAGTGACGTCACGGCAGGCGGAGCTTCGAGGGCAGGCTGTGAAGAAGGGGACGGAGGAGTTTGTTGTTGTTGTTTCTCTTGTCTAGCGGAGGTTTTACTGCCGCCTCTGAACGAGCGCTAACTCCGGGGGAACCATCGCCGCCAGACCCGCTGAGGAACCGGAACCGGGACTCTCCTCTGAAACCCGCAGCGTCGAGCGGAACCAGCCCGGACTGCAACATGAAGTGGATGTTCAAAGAGGATCATTCCCTGGGTAAGAAGCGATGAAAAGCGGAGAAACGGTTCTGACACGGGACGGGTTCGAGTCCAATCCCGGTTTGTGGTTCTGGCCGGATGATTTCAGCTGGAATGAGGTGAAGGTGATGCTTAGAAACGGTTCTGTTCGGGTTCTGGCCTGGTTGTTGTGAGGGGGAGCTGATGAAGTAAGTCGGTTTCAAGATGGCTGTTGGTGCTGAAGCTCCGACCAGAACTGCTGCCAGGATCCCGGGATCATCCGCTTGAAGCCGAACCGAACCGGGTTCTGTTCCTGGTCGGATCCACCAGGCTTCATGACTCCAGCTGAAACTGAAAGCATCCTCTCCTCCTGCTGCAGGCCTCATTTCCTCAGAAAGATACTCTGCTCTCCTCCTCGAAGCCAGAATTTCCTCTAATCTTTGAACTCATCTCCGCTAATGGACCTCCAGGCTTTCTGGACCTGAAACTCACACAGAATCTAATTTTGTCTGTAAATTTGCAGGATTTTTCCCCAACTAAATGTCATGAATTGTGTTTGGAGGCAGAGGATTTCCTCCTGTGTGGGGACTTCCTGCCTGATGGACGGCAGATTCCTGGGATCTCATAGATCCGCTGTCAGAGATCCGTCTCCGCTGCTTCAGATCACCTCCAGGACCTGCCGTCGCTCACTTAGCATCCTGCTGATCTCTGTGTGTGTTTGCTCTGCAGAACATCGCTGCTTAGAGTCGACCAAGATCCGCAGCAAGTACCCGGACCGGGTCCCGGTGAGTGTCCAGCAGCGGGACGCGTTCTCCCGGTGGGACGGGTTCCCCGGCGGGACGCGTTCTCCCAGTGGGACGGGTTCCCCGGCGGGACGGGTTCCCCGGCGGGACGCGTTCCCGCCTCTAACGTCTCCGTCCCCGGCAGGTTATCGTGGAGAAGGTGTCGGGCTCCCAGATCGTGGACATCGATAAGAGGAAGTACCTGGTGCCGTCCGACATCACGGTGGCCCAGTTCATGTGGATCATCAGGAAACGCATCCAGCTGCCGTCGGAAAAGGCCATCTTCCTGTTTGTGGACAAAACCGTCCCTCAGTCCAGGTCAGATTCCTGTTCCCGCTCTGAGTCGGTTTTCCCGCCGGGGATCCAGACCTGATCCCAAACTCTGGATCTCGTGGTTTTATTTTGAACTTTGACCTCTTCACCATGTGCTGAAATCTGACCCATAAATCATCACATCTCATTACTTCTCATGTTTACGTTGACCTGTAACCATAACAACGGTTCCTGGATGACAAATCATCCCTGAAGTCACCACAATAAACAATAATATTGTAATTTTAAGACCATTTAAAGTATTATCATTTTAATAAAGGCATAAAGATGGAGGATCATATTCTGAGAACAATAAACTTTTGGTTCTGCTGAAGATTTAACGCTGAAGCTGGAAGACATTTTAAATATCTCAAATTAATAAAACAAGAGAAACAACAAATCAAATGAATCAAGAAGTTTTTCTAAACTTTTTATCTTCTAGTTTTTGGTAGAAAGAGAATAATATTACAAATTATGCAGGTGGAGTTTACTGGGCTCATTTTAATTGATTATGTCATTTATTGATGTACTGATTATGGCGGCAGGTTATGAAAGATGGCCGCCGCGCCGCCGGTCACTGCTGGGCGTTTTGCTGAAGTTTGAGCGGAAATGATGCATTTAAAGTTTTACAGATAGAATCTGAAAAGTGTGGAGAGTAGGTCTTCTGACTGAAAACGTCTCCAGCTCAGTCAGGTTGGACTTCAGGACTAGACTTTGACTAGGCCACTCTGATCCATGAATCTGCTTTCATTTCAACTTTTTCCTTTGTGGCCAAAAAGGGTAAATTTGAACAAATCATAGGCCACAAAATTCATTAAATCAAAAATGAAAAGTGAGTTTATTGTGAATTTTCTTTTTTTAAAGTTCTACCTGCTGTTTAATAAAAGAAATTGTAATAAAATGTGTTATTTTAAAAGTCCAGCTGCGTTACACAGTTTGACATTTAGAAAATAAATTATCTTTATGGAAAAGCAACAGCTTTTAAAAGTCTTGTTTTTCAATAAAATGTTTTTGCACCAGGATGAGGTGAAATTAGTTAATGTAATAAAAACATCACATGATGTTGCTACTGGAGCAAACCATAAAAAAAATTATGTCTTATTTCATAAAAACACGGCATTAGAGAAATTTAGTTTTTTAGTGGAATATTGTCAGTTTTGGCTCATTTGTAACAGAAAAGCAAAAATGAGTTGTTTTTCTGTTTCTTGGCCAAATTTTTTCCATCATGTCTTGTAGCTGGAGAGCCGCTCAAAATAATTTCCAGGGCCACAAATGGCCCTCGCGCCACACTTTGGACCCCTCTAATGTAAGCCATCCCATAATTTCTCCAGCTGGATGTTCAGGCCGTCGAACCTTTAAAAGATTTTCCTCCAGGATGATCCTGATTGAACTCCATCCATCTTCCCGCAGCATGATGCTGCCACTCCCATGTTTCACCCGGAGTCATGGTGTGTTCAGGGTGACGTGGAGTGTTGGTTTCCTCTGACCAGTCTTCCACTGGTTGGGACCGGTGGGACGTTTGCGGGGTGTGAAAACCTTTGGGTGGTTCAATAACAGCGCCTGTAATCCGTTGCAGCATCACGATGGGGCAGCTGTACGACAAGGAGAAAGACGAGGACGGCTTCCTGTACGTGGCGTACAGCGGAGAGAACACCTTCGGCTTCTAGGAACCGGGCCGGAGTTCGACTCCTCCTGCTGCGATCCGGTTCTGGTACCGCCGGCCCTGTGAGGGAGCGATCCTGCCTGAGCATCTGTTGTCCACCTTTCTACAGATTCACCTTCATTGTGGCGCCGTTTCAATCACTTTGGGTTTGATGCTGTTGTTTTTTAGATCCTGTTTGATTTTCTCTTCTTACGTTTTTTAAGTGACGGGTTTGAATGAAGTTTGTTTTAATGCTTTTGTTTTTCTTTGAATTTAATTTAATCAAAATGAATTTTAAGTTAAATGCGTGAGGGTGAGGTAGCTGGATGACCTAACCAATAAAAGATAAGACTGAACGAGTTTTATTGTCTCCTTTAAATCGTCCGCAGTCACAGATCATCTGAGAAACAGCGACACCTGGCGGCAGACTGGGAGTACTGCAGCTGGATTATGTCATTAATGGCTGAGAAAAGAAGCTGCATTTATTTAACATTTATTAGGTAGCAGAATTTTATTCCGCATCAATCAATTTAAAATGTTTATGTAAATGTGATGTAAATACTTTTGGATGTATGGAATGCCGTTTATAAAGTTACCAGTTAAAAATGAACAGCAGTAATTTGGATTATTTAGCCTGTCATTCATTTCTAAATATCACAGTTTCAAACAAAAACATTTAGTTAGTAAGACAAATATTACATGGAGAAGCTAACTGTTTAGCTCCAATCTGCATGTTTAGCTTTGAACTAGCTAAATACTGAGTTTAGCTGCAGATAAATATTTAAGTTGCTCAAAGAAAATATAGCTAATTTCCAAATTTACTTGCCAATAAGCAGAAGTGTGTTGTCAACATAAATCAGGGTTTTGTGAACCTATAATATTTGTTAACTGATTACAAGCAATTCAGTCTCACCAAAATGAGTTAACTAGCTAAATATTTAGCCTCAAACTTTATATTTAGTCATATTTTCACCATGTTTCACATTCATAAATGTCACAGTTCCAAAAATAAGTATTTAGTTTGAAGCTATACTAAGCTAGCAAGTTAAATTAGTTAACCAGTTAACTATTTAGCTCCAAGCTAAATATGTAGCTCTGAAATAGCTAAACACAACATAGTTTATCTTAAATCCAGAATGTGCAGACTGACTCAGGATGAGGCCTAAAGTGAAGGTCCATTAACAGGGACCACCATGCTAACTGGGAAGCATGGGAGAGGCAGCATCATGCTGTGGGGCTGTTTTCTGCAGGAGGAACTGGTGAACTAATGGAGAGAAGGCTATTTAATCATGACATGATCCAGGAAGTTAAAGACATGATGCATTAACCATACCATAAACATCAGCTGCAAAATGTCTTCTGAGGTCAAGGATTCGTCTCCAGCTTCACAAACACTTCCACGAAAACATTCCTTCATGAAACGGCTTTTATGTGCAGAATGGAGGTGTGCGCATTCCCGATGCAAGCCATGATCCACAGGGGGCCTGGCTGGTTCGATAGCAGACCTCAGAGTGGCCTGAGGTCAGAGGTCACCTCCCTCTGCCTGGCGGTGCCCCAGCTGACCTTCCAGACTCAGAGAAAAGGTTTTTCTCTGAGCCAAACTTTCTGGAACGGTTCTGGAAGAGTTTCAGGGATCGTTCTTCTTCGAAAGGTTTCAATTATTCTTTCTGAGTGTTTGGCGAACGGCGGTGAAACGTCTCAACGCTTCCATTTTCACTTCCTCGTGTCTCTGCCGCCGAACTTCGCAGCACTGGTATCCGTGGAAACCTGAGAGGTCGAGTTCAGGTGAAGCTGCTGGTTTTCTGCTTCAAGCCGAGGTCAGCAGGAGGTCGAGTTCAGGTCAAGTTCGACATTAAAGCCACGTCTGATAATAAAGTAAAGAAGCGCTTAGTTCTGATGAAAACTAAAAACTGAGATTATATTTCTCCTGGTTTAGCTTCACTGTTAAATCCAGATTATAATCTCAGAATCTCACAGATAAACACATTAATAATCAGAGCTCTGATTGGTCCATCAGTCCTTCCTTGTGTTATTATTACCTCCTTAGCAGATCGTTATTGTTATTTTATATCATTATTATCATCATTAGACTTTTCATTAGTTTGTTTGCATGTCGATTTATGGGATTAAATAACAAACTCAAACAAAGTTAAGATATAAACATCTTCAAATAGGAGTTTATTGGGAAATGTGTTGTTTAGGAAGAAAGCTATTGATTAATAAAACTGATCATAACGCACTGATTTATAACTCAGATCGATTTGAATGACTGAATTAAAATGATTTTTGACATTTGCGGTGAATAAAAATAAACTGAACTAACAGTTGATCAATAAAAGCAGATCCTTTTCAGAGGAAGAGGAAGAGGAGGAGGAGGAGGAGCAGCCGCTGCTTTCTGAGAACAGCTGCTGCTCAACATATAAACGGAGCCGGCCGGACCGGTCCCGCACACTTCCAGAACCTCCGGAACCATGTAGCTCCAGCTGAGCCTCTGCCTCCTGGCTCTCCTCTGCTCCCTGCGGTCCAGCTCTGCAGGTCAGAACTTTCTCCTACTACTGATGGAGAATCTCCTCCTCCTCTCCTCTGTCTGTCTGCTGCAGCAGCAGCTGCTGCTGCTGCTCCTCTGCTGCTGCAGCTGCTGCTGCTGCTCCTCTGCTGCTGCTGCTGCTCTGCTGCTGCAGCTATGAATCTGTTGTTGGTGCTGAAGTTCTGCTTTGGTTCGCAGCTCCAGTCGGTCCAGGCATGATACTGGACCCCTGCTGCCAAGACAACGGCAGGACGCCGATCCCCATAGGGAAAGTGAAGGAGATGAAAAACTCTCCGATTCACTGCAGAGTCAGATCTGTGATGTGAGTTCAGCACAACTTTCATAAATGACTGAAACAATCACTGCAAACAGAATCAGTATCATAATTAGCATCAAAACGGACATTCTGGGTTCACTGAGCACACTGCTGCTGGAACCAACATGGCTGCTGGAACCAACATGGCTGCTGGAACCAACATGGCTGCTGGAACCAACATGGCTGCTGGAACCAACATGGCTGCTGGGACCAACATGGCTGCTGGAACCAACATGGCTGCTGGAACCAACATGGCTGCTGGAACCAACATGGCTGCTGGAACCAACATGGCTACTGGAACCAACATGGCTGCTGGAACCAACATGGCTGCTGGAACCAACATGGCTACTGGAACCAACATGGCTGCTGGAACCAACATGGCTGCTGGAACCAACATGGCTGCTGGAACCAACATGGCTACTGGAACCAACATGGCTGCTGGAACCAACATGGCTGCTGGAACCAACATGGCTGCTGGAACCAAGCCAGCGTTTCAAAATAAAAGTCTCAATTTGTGATCAGAGCAAATCTGAATATTATTATATTCATTAATAATAATAATAATAATAATAATAATAATAATAATAATTATTATTATTATTATTATTATTATTATTTGTAACGGATTGTAAAATGAAATGTCTAAATTATCTGTAGTTTATTTAAATTAAACAATTTAAATGAATTTCTAATTTAAGACTGTTGCAGATTGTTTATGTATGTTTGTCTGTTTTGGTTTGCATTGTTGGTGATTTATTTGGTTTAATGGTATTTTGTAATGTTTTGGGATTTTTTTTGTTTAATACGTACCTCACGGGCTGCCGTAGAGAAAGAGGGCAGGGCCTATAAAACTGGGGAATTGCAGTGAACCAAATGAACTGTCAAACGTTGGACTAAGAAATGGCGTTCCCCAGGAAAGGCAGCGAGGTACGTTTTTGTTTGTTGTTGTATTGTTGATTTGTGTTGTATTTTAATATTTGTATTTGTTTAGTTTTCACGGTGATGGTGATGGTGATGATGATGGAGGTTTTGAAGTCAAGTGACCTGACGATGATCCAGCAAAATCATCAAAGGAGAAATAAAGCCAATATCACCTGTCGAGACCGGCTGTTTTTTAATTCAAGTACTGGGGATCAGCTACATTATTATTATTATTATTTGTTACTCCTCTCGAGTTCAATTAAACTTAACGCAGTTTGATTTTCTACAGCCATTTATTTCAGACACGTTCTTCTAGGTCCTCAAAAAATGCCGTCAGAACTACAAAAAAGGTAACACAACCTAAATCAGTTCACAACGAATGACACAATATAACAAAAGATACATACAAGAAAACTGTACCTCATTAGCTGCATCAACTCCAGAGGAATAAAGTCTAATCTTCTCACAGTCTCTCCAGCCGCATGACCCACATGGCTCCAAATGCGCCAGCCAAAGTTCCCCGGGCAACACATGCCGCGCGGAACAAAAGTTCCCCCTCTATATTCCAATGTACACCCAACATAAAACCAATAAAATTACTACTGCCACCTTAAACATAAAAAACAAAATAAAAAACAAGAGGCAGTTGTCCTGACAGCAGCCACACTCCCACCAAATCACTTGTGATTTCTATTTGAACTTATGAGTGGATCTATTCTGCTTCTAACAATGTGACTGTCTTATGAATAGGTCTGTCTAAGTGAATTTGTTTGGTGAGTCGTCTTCCATGGCAATCTAAGGTGGAGTCACTGATCAATAACTGCACCTTCCGCACACATCCATCTTCACTTGGATAAACTGCTGTGACCTTAGCGAGTTTCCAGTAATTTCGTGGTGCCGTCTCATCTTTGATGATGACTATATCATTGACTTTCGCATTTCTCCTTGTTTTCTGCCATTTTTGTCTTTGCTGTAGGCCCAACAAATATTCTTTTCTCCATCTGTGCCAGAACTCATTGGCTAGGTATTGAACTCTACGCCATCTCTTGCGAAGGTACAAGTCCTGCTGCACAAAGTCTCCTGGAGGTGGTAGTATTACAGATGTCTTCATTGTTAAAAGAAGATTGGGAGTGAGTGGTTGAGGTCCGGTAGGATCATTGAGTAGGTGAGGAGTGATGGGTCGACTGTTTACTATGGCCATCACTTCGTAAAGATAAGTCCGTAATGATGAAATGTCAAGTGTCCGGGAAGACTGATCTAGGATGGAGGACAACACACTTCTGATTGTACGGATTTGCCTCTCCCAGACTCCACCCATATGACTGGCAGAGGGAGGGTTCATAACAAACTCACATCCGAGTTTCTTCAGGCTTTCCTGGTTCATTTCTCTTACTGCTTCCAGAAATTCTCGCCCTGCCCAACAAAGTTAGTACCCTGGTCTGATCGCAGCTGCCGCACATTTCCTCGTATGGCAATGAAAGCTCGGAGCGAATTAAGGAAGGCGTCAGTTGACAGATCATCGAGTAATTCAATGTGTACCGCGCGGGAACATAAGCACGTGAACAGAAGTCCATAGCGTTTGAGCTCTTTACGCCT